GGTAAATAGCGCAGCAGGAAGGGAGACATAAATGGCTGCTGCTGCTCTGCTCGTGCTGCTCCCGAGAAACCGTGAGGCCTATCTTAATACCCTAGACCTGGCATCCTAGTCACGCTGCTCTACCGCCCTGAAAGGAGACACACTCTGCTACTTCCCTCATGGCTGGTTTCATCCCTGGAACTGACATAAGTGCTGGTTGCTTGAGTGCCCTGCGAGGAAGAGGGCTCAGCTGCTGCCCCACCTTTGGAAGTGATGCACTGTAGCTACTGATTTGCTCTTATGGCTGCCCTCTCATTGCAGATACTAATTCCCTCATGCCCTTATTGTGGACACTGAGATGCTGCTACTAGAACTGCCTATATCTCCCTCCTACATGCCCAGGGCTATGCGAGAGGAAGGGACAGAGACACTCCACTCTGGGGGAAATGCTATTTGGGCTGCTTGTCACCCACTCTGTGTCCTCTTGCAACACAGACAAGAAGTCCCTGCTCCACACAGGGACTGTATTGTTACAGGAGTGATCTATATCTACACATATGTATGTAACCCTTCTGCCCATCTAAGTTGGCAGCAACAAGGGCCGGGTTCTGTATCTAGGGGTTCCGTTTCAATAACACAATGCAAAACCGGCTCGAGCCCCCACCCAGTGACCTGGGACAATTACATACCACCCCCCTGGGTACCTCTAAGAGGCAATACTTCCCCTCTCGCAAGCACGGAGTCTGAGTGTAGCAGAAAATGTTTAATAACATGAGGTAAACGACATCAGCATAAAATTGGAAAAACACCACAAACAGGATTCATAACACAAACCATGAGCAAAACCCACCCCAGCAAATTGGGCTGTGTCCTTTCCCTTTGGTTCTTGAATCCAGCAACCCAAAAATCACCCAGAGTCCCCAAAGTCCAACATCCCCAAAGTCTCTGGGGTCCAGCAACCACCCAAAGTCCCAAAAGTCCAACAACCCCCAAAGTCTCTGCCCCTGGTCAGTGCAGCCCCAGAGTAAAGGGGGGGGGGCACGCAGGGTGTTAAGGGGCACCTTACGTGATCCGAGGCTGGCCAGCCGTCTGTTTCTCCGTGGGGGTTCCGCCGCAGCCTTTACCACGAGCCAGTCCACTTTCCTGCCATCCCACGAACTGCTCCGCTCTACAAGCTGCTCCGCTCCGCTCACCGACCTGTGAGCCGTTCCAGCCGTCCCCGCAAACAGCTCCGCTCGCCGTTCCTTGGGCCACTCCAACCAGCCCCGCAAGGCTCCACGCCGCTCGCTGCTCCTCCAGTCGTCCCCACAAATTGCTCCGCCAGCTGCTGAGAAATATAGCTTCAGGCTCCCCCACTAGTTAACATAGCCTCAGTGATCTCAGCTCTTAATAACATCAGCTCTTTTGTGATTTCAGCTCTTAGCGATTTCAGCTCATAGTATAGTAGGGGAGCCCCAGTGCTGGTGCACCGTTGGCCCAAAGTGAATTCAGCTCAGCAGCCTGTAACTAGACTCCTAAGGGAATCAAAGTTAGCTCTGACATTCAACAGTGGAGAGAGGAGGTGGTGCAATTGGTGTTTCGGACCCTCAGAGGGGGGGGGGGGCCATACCATCAGGTACAAATACCTGTCCCCATCCTCTCTCAATTCACTGGGTTTTGTAACCCATGCCCCTTGTCAAGCAAGTGCTACTTAGGTAATGGTGAAGGACTCACTCAGTCCTTCTGTCATACAACAGTTCCACTGGCCTTGATTCACAGAATCAGGGTAACAAAACTTTATTCTTCCTGCCCCAATAATAGAGAAACTGGGGATCCCACACCAGCCAAAGTAACCACTTTCAGTTGCTGTGTTTCCTGCCAGGCGAGTGGGTGTGCCTATGCAAACAAGATCAGCCCCTGGAGTTCTTTTCCACACTCGCCATAATTCACCACCAGATGTCAGGGTAGAGCTCATCCTGACTCTGCTTACATGTAAATAGTTAAGAGGTAATATGCCAGTATATGGCACTCAAGCATGTGTTTCAGAGTTCCTAGGCTCTATGTAGTGCCAATAAACATTTGTTTTTGTACACTGAAAATGGCTTCCTTTGTGCAGCACTTAACACCTAGGTTTAGCCTGGCCTAAGCAGTCATGGAATGGAACTGCTTGCTGACTACACTACATATGCCCTCTTGCCAACCCTACTCATCTATATAAGGTACCTATATGATCCCCATTACTATAGTATCTGAGCACCTCATAACCTTAAATGTATTTAGACTTTCAACACCCCAATGAGGTAAGGAAGAACTTTTATACAGAGCTGGTCAAATTTTTTCCAGCAGAACACATTTCTGTCAGAAAATGAGGATTCAGTAGAATCAAAACATTCAGTGAGAATATGTTGATTCCATCAAAACTTCTGACAGAAACCCAGCAGGTGAGCAGGTAGCAAGCTGGCCAGCCTGCCTGACTCATTTCCTGCCAGCTTCCCCACCCATCTTCCTCCCCAAGCTCCACAGTTCCTTGGCAGCCTGCTTGGTAGGAAGCTTGGGAGACAGGGCTCCTTGGGCTTTCTGAGCTACCTGGCAGGGAGATTGAGAGCTGGGGCTCCCTTGGCTTCCAGGCACCCTGGCAACCCACCTAACCCCCACCTGGGGAGTTGGGTGGTCAGCTCCCTGCACTGGCTGGATTCCCAGGCTGTCCAGCTGACCAGAAAGTTAGCTCTCAAACCCCTTGGGCAGCTGGCTCCCTTCCCACACCGCCTATCTGCTCAGGCAGCTGGCTCCTGATTCAGGATGATTATTTTTTTTAATGAAATTTTTTCATAGGAGGGAAACTCTGTTTCTCAACCAGCCCTACTCTTATGCCATTTTACACATCCTGCAGATTTACATTTTAAAGCCTATGGAGGGGCTAAGTTTTAACTCAACCTGCTAACCCATGTGTAACCACAAACTGCCTTGCCTTCATTAAGATTTTACTTCATGTTAGCTAACTCCTGTTAAGGACACACCTTTTTATTTCCCCAGTAAAGACAAGGCCTTGCTCATTTTGCTTTTTTGCTAAAACAGTGCAGGAGCTTCCACCTCCCTCTATGTCATGTCATACAGAAATAATGAGATTCAGACACCACAATATTGTGAAATATGGAGCCTGCAATTTTATACACAAGTATTGTGTAGCTGGGATAACTACCTCACACTACCCAGCGGGGTTGTTCCAGTGTGGCTCTCAACTGATACCAGTGGACCCAGTGTACTCTAACTCTGTACCCTCACGCTTGCCAATGGACCCTGATTAGAGGCCACTGTCCCAATCTACTCCCCTCTTCCACACCAGAGGTAGGAGAGAGCAGATAAGGGGAGAAACAAGCTGCATGAGACAGAGAGGCACACCCCCTCACCATGCAGTGCAGTGCTCAGGGCCAATGCCCATAGAGCCCATTAGGTTACAGGGCCCTTTGCTGGACCCTTTCTAACCCACCAACTGTACTGGAACCTGCCACAGGGGACAAGAGCAATCAGCTTGACATCCACCCTCAGCCTGCTGGATAACTAGAAAGGAACTCCACCCACCACTTGAGGTCCTCCAAGAAAATATCTGCCCCACATCAGAGAAGTGCACTCCATCCTTTGAAACATTTGTGGAACAGCATACTTAGTTCCCACGTGGGAAATGAAGGTACCCTGCCCCCTATCATTTTAATATAAGTACCAACTTCCCCATTTCATGTCTTTCCCAGCTCGGTCAGTCTTGCCTAGTCTGGTTGCACCAGCTTAACTATAATCACTTTTCAGATCAATGTAGTTTAACAGACTGTGACAGAATGGTGGGAGCCAAAAGCTGGGCCAGCATTCTGGTCACTAAGGCTTTGTCTACACTGGCACTTTTGTCAGCAAAACTTTTGCTGGTCAGGGGTGTGAAAAAACACACCCCTGACCGATATAAGTTTCACCAACAAAAGCACTAGTGTGGACAGCGCTGTATCAGCGGGAGTTGCTCTCCCACCAACATAGCTACCGCTGCTCATGGGGGTGGTTTAATTATGCTGGTGGGAGAGCTCTCACTACCAGAGATCCGTTCTGGTTCTAGCACTGCTTGCTAGGTGGTACCCGCCTTATAACTAATAGTTAAAGCTCTCACTTAGGAGACCTTCATTCAAATCCTCACTCTGCCTGATTTAGAACAAGGATCTGAACCTGAGTCTCCCATGTGAGTGCCCTAACCACTGGGCTATGAAGTCATTCTCTTTCTTGGCCAATGAATGTTTAATAGAAAGTGGAACAAGTCCAATAGGAGAGATTGAGAGAAAACAGATTACCCAATAGCCCAATGATTAGGCTTTGCACATGCCCCCCTGCAGAAATGTAGGTGCCTTGGAGGCCTTACTGGTGGAAGCTTAGGTGCCGAGGCCTTTCGGCACCTACGGTATTAGGCAGCAGCTAAGCATTGGGGATGGGTGGGAGTGAATGCTGGTGTTGCGTAAATGTTGGACTTAGGTGCTTATCTGCCCTCTTTAGGTCCCCTTGTGAATCGTGCTCCAAGCTTAATTAAAGTGATTATAAACCAATTTCAGTTAAACCACTGTGATTTTTGTGAATGTAAGAGGGAGTCTAAGTGCAGCTTACACTTGGTTAAAATCAAGATTATCCCATCTACTTTCTTCCCTGGTTGGTTGTTGATCTTGCAAACTCAGTGTGAAAAGATAAAACAACCATTTATCATGAGGCAAAAAACAAAACAAAACAAAACATGGAATTACAAATGCAGAACTTTATGACATAGGGAGTATGGGATGCAATAAAATAAAAATAAACCCAGTTTTTTATCTTCATGGTGAACTAATTGATCTTTAAAATAAACTCTGCCATTCCCAGCCATGTTTGATAAATCAGCATGCATGGTAGGAGTGTTTTGGTTGGCTGTGGAAATTTCCGAAAGGGACATGATTTATCATCAGAAGTTGCTGCTCCTCACTGAAAATGGCAACTCTGCAAACTCAAGGGGTGAATTATCTTTCCCTTTGGAATGTCGTCGGTTATGATTGCCGTGGATACTGGAATCTTCCTTGTGCCCGTTCAGTAGCCTTTTTCTGAGTAGCCCTCTTTTCACAAATATAGCGATATTGGCCTGTACAGTTATGGGAGAAGGCTTCCCCAGCTTTGAAAAGTGCACATTTTTCTCCAGGCTCTTGTATCTTTACTGGAAAACTTTTAAAAGAAACATTTTATTGTCAGACACACCAGACTTGGTGAAATCACAAACAAACTTATAAAATTGATGTGCCTAAATCTTGAGGGTAGATGCCAGATACAGACAAAGAAAGAAATAGCTTTGGTATGATTCAGGACCCAGGACAAGCAGAATTGATTAAAAAATGTGAATTAATTTGGGACTTATGAAAATTGGTGGACTAAAGAGCTGACTAGGGCTAGACAGACTGCAGGCTGGTTTTGAGCAAGTTTCATTCATTCCACACAACTCTGGCAATGAACCCCAATCCTGCCTGGCAGCCCCTCTGCCTTTCCCTCACAGCTCTGCCAATGCCCCCTCAGTCCTGCCCTACAGCCCCCCTGCTATTCCAGTGCTGGGCTCCTCACATGGCTTGTATCACTGTGGGCTACTACCCTTTTTCAGGGCCAGACTTTGATCCTCTTAACACATAGGTGAGTAGTCACTCACAGCAGTAATCCTGCAGATATTAATTGGATTAATACTAATGTGGGTAACTGCTCACTAATGTAAATCAGGGGGTCATAATCAGTCACTTGGTGCTGGCTAAAAAGGCTTTCCTCTGAGACAGAGCTTTTAGCCTTACCTGTTATATGTAACTTATCTCAGACAAGCATGTCTAGCAGTCTGACCCACCTAGGGCATTTATAAAAACAGCTTTTTTTCTTCAGAATCATTTTCTGACAATAAATTATCCAGCCAGTTCTACTTCGACCTTAATCTCTGTGCCTCAGCTCCCCATCTGTAACACGAGCATCATGCCTCCCCCTCACCTCACAGCAGCATAAATCAATTTATGTTTGTGAAACACTTGGATACTATAGTGATGAACGCCTTAATTCTGCCTTCATATCTGGCACTGAATGCAGTAAATAAGGCCTAGGGGCATGGATTGAACTATGAATATAAAACAAAATATAGCACATCCATTCTATGCACTGACTGAGGCAGCTGTTCTATGGAAATACAATAGTATGTTGTCATGTAATTAAAGACTGTATCACAGGGGAAATCAGTAGGAGGACCATGGGCCAAAACAGGACCGCCACATGCTTTTGAATGGACAGCAAAATCTTTTTATTTACTTATTATTATCATTATTGTCACTGTGGTGTCAAAAAATGTTTCTCTGGAGTCTGGCCCTTAACTATACCTTGACCAAGAAATTTGGACCTTAACAAAAAATAATTGACTACCTCTGCATAATGCTATGCACAAGGGAGCTGAATTAAGTTTGCACACAGAACCTTAAGTCAGGTATTTCCTAACTTTTGAGTGCTTGAATTTGCAACCCTAATAATATTCTTGTAATGTATTTGTGTATGTGTAATGTGACTTTATTACTTTGACCCTTTAAACCCTGCTCAGTTCGGAGCATTCATTAACAGCACTTCTAGAAACTCAATAAACAACTCTGATGGAAATTCAATCAGTGATAACTCTGTTTGTCCTTCAAAAAGTCTGTGCCGTGAAACCATGGATCCAGATAGCTCAGTCTGAATCTTCATATTTTTATCCATAACATAACAAAACAAAAAAATCCTCTCAACAAGAAAAACTCAGCTCTATAACCAAAACAAAACATATGTAGGACAAGTCAGATGTGTCCAGAGACCCCCGTCCTGCTTCCAATCAGCAAACCCCACTCTCTACTTCCAAGAAGGATCTCAGCCGATATATATGATCTTTCTGAGCCTACCTAGACTCAGCTGAACCTGATGGCTTGGTCTCTGAAACCCCTTGGAGAGATTTAACCAGCCCTTTCCCCGCAAAAGCCATGCCACTGTCTGACTCAATGCCTCTTTCTAGAGGAAACATCAGCCCAGGTGTGTCAGGGCTGTGGGACCTACTTTAGGGTATTGAATAATCTTTATTCCCCTTCCCATTGACATAGTAAAAATTTGGTAAGAAATACACTAGGATATAAAAAAAACTGAACCATTTCTAGGTGTGCCTGAGACTTACAGGTCAGTGGAGTGGGCTGTGCCATCCTGCCACACCCAGCCATGACCGATTGCCGTACGGGATAATCCAATCCAGTGAAATGAGGCCTGAGACTTTATGAAACCCTGTGTGGAAACAAAAGCAAATCAGCTCAAACCCTGGTATGAGTGTGTGGATATAAGAAATGGGAGGGAAGCTAATAAGTCATGGTCACAGCCAGTATGCTGAGGTCCCCGGAAGTTGGCCAAACACATTCTCCTTTTTCCCCAGAAGACCTTTGAGTACATTTTACAGAAAATATTTCTGAAATGTAATTCCTTCTTCCCCCTTATCCTGTCTACTTTCCCTCTGGCTGGGGAAAACTGATGGGGACTCTCTAGGGAAACTGCTACTACAATGTCATTAATTATCCAGGGGAATTACTGTGGAAGGAGAAGAAACACTCTCTTCTCAGTGAGCAGAGAGCACTAGCCCAAGAGAAATCTTGGGCCTTGTTAGTGAGATACTAGAAATACATTTTGGTCTCTCGCCACACCCCCACCCACTCTTCAGTAGCTGTACTGAGCATTAAACCTTAGACCTGGTGTCGTCACACTTCCTTTAAGCCCTTCAGGTAGTTTTAGAATTTTTATTCATTCCCATCTATGGTACCCATAGTCTGGTCAAGCTTTCTTAGGAAATTTAGCACGGAAAACAAAACAGGGCAGTTTAATGGGTCACATTATCCTGACAACATGGACCTTTCATTTTATAACCATATTCTACTTCCCCATCACAGGGATATATGGCAGGTATAGTTTAGAATATACAGGAAACAAAACAACAGGGTAAATTCCCTACCAGCTCTTCCTTGTTCTCTATTTTAAGCAGTAGGGATCCCCAAGAAGAGCAGTATTCTTTACTCTTGTGCCATGTTTTCATTTCCTTCGAAAAATGGTAACACTTCTCTCCATGCTGTATCCAGCTCTCTGGGCAAGGTCTGCATTTATCTCCTTGAAAAAGAGACATTATAGATCCATCACATTTCTGTGTGATGCAGTTTCATGTGAGGGGTCATAACGTATTAGCTGCACTGGCATGTTCGTGCACCACCATTCTATACTGGAATAGAGTCTTCAAGTGGCACAAGTCTGTGATTTGAAAATAAAAGTTATTAATTCTGCTGCTGAGTCTGTGTGTCTCAGGTTCAGCTGATGCTGGCCATGAATTTGGGACTATTAGAAAACAAACATGCAGAATCATCCCTGGTCCAGCATAGCCTCACCCTCCTTACTGAAAGGAGGCTAGCACCATTAATGGAACTAGGCCAGGCACCATCTGCCCCAGAGAAGAACATACGTGCAACCAATGTAACAGAGAAGAGACTGAACTGCAGAGTCACTGTCTGCTCAAAGGTCCAACATATGGGGAGGTGCAAGTAAGATACATCCCCAAATTATCAGGAATGATAAAGATTTTTCCATTAAAAAGTGAAAAGGAAAAACTGGGCATAAGCCTGCAACTTAATTTTTTTTTTTTTTTTTTTTTTAAAGAAAGACTCCAGGATTTCTCTCATCTGCCACCTTTTAGCACAGTCCTTGGCATGTGTGTCTGCAAGCACAGTCCTAGAATGGAAGAGCTTGATCAGGGGTTTGGGGGAAATGTTGAACAGGTGTATGCTACATCCCACTAGTGTGCTGACTTAATGCTGATCCACTTAAATGCTGACCCAGTATCGTCAGTGAATTGCTATTATCGACGGTCACAGAAATTGCAATTATTTGTGGGCCCCATGAACAAAAGAGGAAATGAGAGCACCCAGGGAGGAAGGAAACAGCATATATGACATAAGTGACATGAATGAGACATGAGTCAGTTTGTCATTTGTGAGTCACATCCTGTCACTCCCAAAGGAACAGAAAGGAATTGGGTGACATACATTGGAAACAGATATGCCCATGTTTCAAAACCCTGAAGTTAGAGGGCCAGGGATCATTGAGTATAACTCATGCTGGATTCCGAACATTTTTGCATAGAATTTTTTTGTGGCTTTCAGTGTTAACAACAATTAGCTCAGGCCCTTGGGCAGTGTGTGCACAGGGAGAGAGGAACCCTGAGAAAGCTCTTTTGTTAATAATGACAAGGTGAACAGGAGTCTACTGAAACACAAATGTTATTTTATAGGCCATAACAGAATAGTGAACGTGAGTCACTACCTTTCATGTTCACAATATTTGTGAGGTTTGTGTTCTTTGCTTGGAGATCATCTCTTTGCTGGTGGCAGTTTTCCAGTGTTTTCTGCAGTTGGGTGATATTGTCCACAATTTCACATTGCTTGTTGAGAGTTTTGTTCTGCAGAACTAAAATTCAGAATAAATTCCCCCCTTCCAAACCACTTTTAAATTTTGTAAGTTTTTATAAGTTGCCTTTTGTTCTATAGGTCTACTTAGAGATATGTTTATTTTTTCAGATTTTTTTGGTAGTTAAGGAGCTAGCAAAATAGTAAATGCTACTTGGATATTAAAAAGAGCACTGGATGGTTTTAAAATGGAACATATGCAAAAACAATTGACAATTTAGTTTGATTTCTAATCTCTGGGGTGGAGGCAGTGAATATTTTAAGAGACTGAAAGGCTGTCCATTTTTAAGGGCTGATTCACCACTCTGTTACTCCAGTTTTCTGTCATCATCACTCAAATGAAATCAAAACTAGATATACTGGTGCTGCCAATATCCAAGCTAAGTAGCAAGGAAAACAGGTAGAGATTTAGGTAGAATGAAGTAACAGGAGTGCACATGGATGTGCTCAAAAAAAAAAAACCTAAATAGAGATAAAATCCATTAAAATATTGCTGTAACTCAGAGGTACAGCACACAACATTGCTACCATGAAATCTAAACAAGCCATGTTGGGCTGGATGAGAGAACATGAAAAATCTGATGCCTTATCAAAAGAGATGGAGAAATCACTGGAAGGAAGGAGGGAGCTGTCCATAAATTACATGACATTTTTTGGTGATTTTCAAGACCCACCCACTCCCTTGTAACATTGGAAAAACATGTACAAATAAGGACTCATCTACCTAATGCATTATATAATTTATAGACAGTACCAAAGGAAGGAAGGAAGGAAGGAAGGAAGGAGACCTAGAACAATAATCTTGAGTGCAACTTTGAAATCCACTAAGTAAAAGGTTCAGAAGAAAAGATGAAAAGTGAAAACATTTAACAATAACACTAGACAAAAGAAGGAAGGAATCAGTTGATGAAAGAAGGAAGGATTGGTGGAAGGAGTAGACGTTTTCAGGGTACAGGGGAGGGAGAAGAGGACAGAAGAAAGGGAGGAGTTGATCTTCTCTTTGAAGAAGTCCTCAAAATTCTGCACCGGGAAGGAGGAATAGTGAGAGTGGGGAAGATTTCAGCATCGAGTCAAAGGCCACAAATAAGTGACAAGAGTTGTGGGAACAGGGTTCAATGAGGGTGGAAAGGGTTATTTGGCAAGGAATCCAACCACTAATAACATGAAAATGTCCCATCTTAACAATATGTACTTCATTTCTAGGGGAGGAAACTCTCTATGGGAAAAGGGAGCAAAGTAAATTGAATTTAAGGACTCAGCCAACTAGAATGTGGATGAAACAGGCAGGTGAACACAATTATGCTTAATGAAAGCATAGAAGAAGAGGAGATCAAATGATCATGAATAAATAGCCATTTTTCTGTTGCTGGTTCACCTGGAGCAAAAGACACATCTAGTACTGTCCCATGTACCTGGAACATCTTCAGTGACATGCTAAGATTCCAATGAGTTGTTGTGAAGTTTAGTGAACTCAGATACTAGTGACTTGGTGTTTAAAATCAGATACTGATCATTGGCTGCTTACTGACCCAAGTAAAGCTCTCAATGATCTTGTCTAGACTACAGTTTTTGGATGTGTCTGCTAAAATATGTTGATTGACAATCAATGAACACCCTGTAACCAAAAAATCCAATCTAGACAAGGACAATAATCTCTGCTCTCCATCATCCTCTGTCTCCTGGTCCTCTACTCTACACAGATCCTGAACATGATTTTTTGTACAGTGATTTGTGGGTCGCGAACAGAGGAGATGCAGAAAATGAAATACATCTGGGAAAGGCAGCAAGAAACGCCAAACAAACAAGCACATGAACATAAAGCAACACCGCAAGGCATAACACAGCATTGTGCTCCTCACAACAAAGTGCTTCTGCAACAGGGAAACCACAGCAGCCTTTTTAGTGTGAGTGGGAAATTCGGGAAGTCATGGGGCATGGGGAACAGGGGTCTGTTGGAGCAGAGAGGAGGTAGAAAATGCTTTAGTCTAATCACAGGAATTGGCTGAGGAGGATGCAAGGTGCTCAGTATATCTGGGCCTATTTGTCTGTTGCCATATTCTTCTGTCTATATGTGAGTTTATTTTGTTTCAGTGCCATCATTTTGGGGTCCTGCTGTGCACGGATTCCCGTTGCAACTTCCCCAGTGGCCATAGTTTAACAGACTTTCCCTAAGAGGGTGAATGACTTCATTATTCTCCACCAAGTGCCCCATACAATTATATGACCAGTTCATCTATGATTAGTTTGTCATTATTGGGTGATTTCCTGTAATGCCCAAAGGTACAGGAAGGAATCAGGTGATGCCTATAGAGAATGGATATGCCCATGTCTCAAAACCCTGACGCTAGTGAGCCAAGGATAATTGAGTATGACCCCTGCTGGGTGCCCAACACTTCCCGCAAAGATTCCTTTGTGACTTTCCTTGCTATTAACAATTAGCTCAGGCCCTGGGGCAGTGTGTGCACAGGGAGAGAAGAACCCTGAGAAAGCTCTTTTGTTAATAAGGACAAGGGGAATGAAGATTCTAATGAAACAAAAATGTTACTCTAATGGCTATAACAGAATAGTGAGCTTCAACTGATACCTTTAATGTTCACAATATTTGTGAGGTTTGTGTTCTTTGCTTGGAGATCATCTTTTTGCTGATGGCAGATTTCCAGAGAGTTCTGCAGTTGGGTGAGGTTTTCCAATAATTCATGTTGTTTGTTGGGATTTTCATTCTGGAGAACTTAAATTAACACTAAAGTAACAAAAACTGTGCCACATAAAACTGAAACTGCAGTAACCTTTATTAAATCAATTGTCTTTTGCTCTATAGGTCCGCTAAGAGAAATATTTATTTTCTTTAGATTTATTTTGGTATTTAAGGAGCTCGCAAGTTAGTAAAACACTACTTGGATAATAAAAGAAAAAGACTGTGGTTTTGTAACCTGACTAACAGACCATAATATATAATATAGAACCTAAACATAATATACAACCTACACTGATTTTTAATCTCTGTTAAATTGGGGGAAAGGGTAGTGTTACTATCCCAAGCTCAACACACAGAATAAGTTTTGTTCCATGTTAGTCATCAAAATGAGGCACCACTTACACAGATTGTTTTCAAAATATGATCATGCTCTGAGCTCCACTGGGCTCCTCCTCAGTGGGGCCTGAATATGCCCATGGGCTCTCCTAGGCTTCTTTGGCATGGCTCCTTTTTGTCCGAGGGGGAATTTAAAAAGTATTATCTCTGAAATGCCAGCCATGTTGAGCACCAGAATTAGCTGTTTCTCAAGGCAGATTGTGCTGATTTGTGATCCCCCTTCTCCTTTCTTACATGAGGAATTAAATAGTTAAAGTTAGCATTTAAATTATCATCAGTGGGCATCTGAGTTAACACCTCACTGAGAGGAATGGGGCAGCTCATCCCTTTCAGGGCTATTGTTCCAGAATTGTTTTTATATGGAGATATACCTTAGACCTGGAAGGGACCTTGAAAGGTCATTGAGTCTAGTCCCCTGCCTTCACAGCAAGACCAAGTACTGTCCCTGACAGATTTTTGCCCCAGTTCCCTAAATGGCCCCCTCAAGGATTGAGCTCACAATCCTGGGTTTAGTAGGCCAATGCTCAAACCACTGAGCTATCTCTCCCCCTCCCTTTAGCATCTTTTGAGGTTTTCTTTGCAACCATAATAATAGACTGACTTTTTACAAATGAAAGCTGGGGTTCTGCAAAACTAAATAGCATCATCTAAAAAAAAACTGTTAGGGGGCCATTCAGATGAGAGGGCACAATAGTGACATGGGAAATATCTGCACAGCATTGTCCTCCTCACATATAAGCACTTCTACAAGAGGCGAACCACAACAATCTGCTGAAAGGAAACCACAACCTCGTTTTAGTCAGAGTGGGCAAATTAAGACGTCAAGGATTAGGAAACCCATCTGAGTAGAACAGGAGGTGGGACATGATCTAGTCTAATCATAGAAAATAGATGAAGATGCAAGCTTGTTATTATATCTGAACATGTGGTTTCTTCTACATATGAGTCATCTATAGGGTATGGTTTTAAATTGTCTGTGAAATGATAGTGTTGATGGTGTAGATAAACAAAGTAGCACATTGCCAGTTAGTGCTGTGGAGAGGGGTGAGCTTGAAGGTCTTTCTGTAGTAAAGCCTTTTTGTCTCTTGAATTTGTGAATCTCTCTCTCTCTCTCCATAGGCCAGGTCTACAGTAGAAACTTTTGGCAGTTTAGCAATGTCAGCTTGGGGTGTGTTTTTTGCAATATTATTTTACTGACTAAAACCCTAGTGTAAACACAGTTATACTGGTAAAAAAGTGTTTTTACCAATACAACTTATTTTGCTCAGGGACCCGTTATAAGCTATACCATCAAAATCACCTTTTTGCCAGTATAAGCTGCATCTACTCTAGCACAGTTTGCTGGTATATCTATACTGGCAAACCATTTCTAGTGTAGCTATGGCCTTATTGATGAGTTTATCTTGTTCCAATGTCATCATGTTAAATTTTTTGTGCATTAATATTTTGTGCAAATTTCCAAGTAGTCATAGTTTAACAACATTTCCTTTAGTGTGTGTCTCTAGCTTAATCTCCACCAAGTGTCCCATAAAATTATTTGATTACATCAGATTTGATTAGTTTGCTCTTCCCATAGAAAAGAATCATTGCATTTGATATGGTTCCACATGGGAAATTATTAGTTAAATTGGAGAAGATGGGGATTAATATGAGAACTGAAAGGTGGATAAGGAACTGGTTAAAGGAGCAACTACAATGGGTCATAGTGAAAGGTGAACTGTCAGGCTGCAGGGAGGTTACTAGTGGAGTTCTCTGGGATCAGTCTTGGGACCAATCTTATTTAACATTTTTATTAATGACCTCACAAAAAGTGAGAGTGTGCTAATAAAATTTATAGATGACACAAAGTTGGGAAGTATTGCCAATACGAAGGAGGACTGGAATATAATACAAGATCTGGATGACCTTGTAAATTGGAGTAATAGAAATGGGATGACATTTTAATAGTACAAAGTGCAAGGTCATGCACTTAGGGACTAACAACAAGAATTTTTGCTATAAACTGGGGACTTATCAGTTGGAAGTGACAGAGGAGGATGGCTATATTGGTTAGTCACAGGATGACTAGGAGCCATCAGTGTGATGCTGCCATGATAAAAGCTAATGCAGTGCTAGGATGCATTAGGCGGGGTATTTCCAGTAGAGACAGAGAAGTCTTAGTACCATTATACAAGGGACCGGTGAGACCTCATCTGGAATACTATGTGCAATTCTGGTCTCCCATGTTTATGAAAAATGAATTCAAACTGGAACAGGTGTGGAGAAGGGCTAATGAGACGATCTGAGGAATGGAAAACCTACTTTATGAGAGGAGACTCAAAGAGCTTGGCTTGTTTAGCCTAACCAAAATAAAGCTGAGGTGAGATATGATTGCTCTCTATAAATACATCAGAGGGCTAAATACCAGGGAGGGAGAGGAGTTATTTAAGTTAAGTTAATGCAGGGGATGGTATGATGGGGTTGCCTATGATGGCATGTGGCCCATCGGCGACTGCCAGTAGCAAAAATCCCCAATGTCTGGAGATGGGACAGTATATGGGGAGGGCTCTGATTTACTATAGAGAATTCTTTCCCAGGTATCTTCCTGGTGGGTCTTGCTCACAAGCTCAGAGTTTGACTGATTGTCATATTTGGGGTCAGGAAAGACTTTTCCCATGGGTCAGATTGGCTGAGACCCTGCTGTTTTTTTGTCTTTCTCTGCAGCATGGGGCATGGGTCACCTGCAGGTTTAAACCAGTGTAAATGGTGGCTTCTCTGTAACTGAAAGTCTTTAAACCATGATTTGAGGACTTCAGTAACTCAGCCAGAGGTTAGGGGTCTACTTCAGGATTGGGTGAGTTTCTGTGGCCAGCAATGTGCAGGAGGTCGGACTAGATAATCACAATGGTCCCTTCTGACCTACTTAGTGTCTTCTCTGCAAGTACTTACCCTTAGCACCCAGGACACCTATTGTTACCAACAAAACCAGGCAGAAGATTCCAAGAATCACTAAAATGAGCTGCAGGTGTGGAGGCAGAGAGGAAGAATCTAACAGAAAGGAGAAGGGAGAAAATCAAATAAAGTGAGCCCCCCTATCCTCAGAATCTGGTGTCAGATTGAAATTTGTTTAGGCAGTATAGGGTGACCAGACAGTAAGTATGAAAAATCGGGACAGGAGGTGGGGGGTAATAAGAGCCTATATAAGAAAAAGACCCCAAAATTGGGACTGTCCCTATAAAATCGGGACATCTGGTCACCCTAAGGCAGTATCAGTGACACATGGACAGAATCCAACCAACCAGGACTAAAATAAGAACACAGGGACTGCCATGCTGGATCAGAACAATTGTCCTTCTAATCTACCATCCTGTCTCCAACAGTGGCTAGTACCTAATATTTCAGAGAAAGGTGTAAATTCCATATAAAGGACAATATGCAAAGACATCCCTGTGGAAAAGGATTCTTCCTAACCTCAGGTAGTCGGTGATTGACTTATGCTCTGCAACTTGGAGGCTGTATACAAAAACAAAACAACAACAACAAAAACCTGTAATAGTTTCCATTCATTAGCTGTATAGCTAATGAAAGTGACTGTAGCAAACAGACACTTTTGTTGGTGGCAGATTTGTGAAGTTCATGAATGTTTTTCATTTCATTCAAAATTTTTCATTATTTTTATAGTTTTCATGACAAAAATTGAAAAAAATTAACAATTTTCAGTTAGTTTCCAATTTAAAAAAAAACGGTAAGCATTTCGCTTTTTTGGGGGGGGAAAGGGTTGCCCCGTTTTCTGTCACCTTTTATCTCTCCCCCCCCCCTTTTCTTTTCCTTTGGAAAAAAGGAGAGATAAAGTGAGTTTAATAACCAAAACAAAACATAAAACCCAAAACCTTTAACTTAAACAACATTTTTGAAGTGAAACAAATTTTTTCTTTTCAACACTTTAATGAAAAAAATGAAAAATTTCAACCAAAACCAAAAAATCTAAATGATTTGGTCAAAAAGCCATTTTTGTTGAAAAACTTTTTGGTGAAACACTTTTGATCAACAATAGTTAAGATCTCTCTATCTGCTATAGACAATTTGGGCCCAGATTTGTTATCAGCTTCCAGTAACAGGATATTAGCAAACACTTTTAGAATATAGATATTCAGGCCTGCCTGTGAAGGCCTATACTTTAAGAACTTAGGTGTATTTTTATCACTTAGCTAGTTATAGAGGTATAAAACAAAGAATCAAAATCACAGTTCGCCTGCGTATGGGCCTTCTCTCACTAGGATAGTCTGAGGCCTTGTTCTTAGGCTAAGGCCTTTGGCTAAGCAGCAGGGGCAGCCATAAGCTGCGAAGTGAACGATCACATCCTCACATTCCAAACCAGTCAATTGAAATAAGGTGCTATTGGGCTGTTAGGAAGACGATCCTGTCCTGATATTCCTATCACCTCCAGAGAAAGAAACAAATCTTAAGATGGTTAAAGAAAACTTAGTTTGATAGCATCCTGTCTGGCAAGAAATCACTTATCAATGGTTGTGGTTGTGAAACCCTCATTTCTGTATTGTTTTATCTTTATGGCTCCCACTTTTCTATTGTTAATCTGTCTGGTTCTCTGATTGTTTCTATCTGCTGTATAATTAATTTTGCTAGGTGTAAGTTAATTAGGATAGTGGGATATAATTGGTTAGAGAATTATGTTACAATATGTTAGGATTGGTTAGTAAAATTTCAGTAAAATGATCGCTTAAGGTATAGCTGAGAATATTACTATATAAACTGGGGTCAAACAGGAAGTGGGGGGAAGAGAAATTGGAATCATGTTTGCTAAGGTGGGGAATGGGAACAGTGACTCAGGCCAGGCTCTGCGGTGTCAGAGTTGGGAAGGGGCACACAGGGTAAACACTCTGCAGTGTCAGAGCTGAGAAAGGGGACACTGGGGAACAGACTGGTGTGAAGGGCTTCAGAATATGCTTGCTTAGAAACTAACCCCAATAAACATTGCATTGACTGCGCTTCGGACTTCTGGTCTTTTGCTGCTTGCTGTCTGTGTGACAAGAACCAGGGGAGGGGGTGAAGGGATAGCCCTCTAACAAACACACTAGAAGAAAGTTAGTTATTGGAGGAAGAGGTTTGATTCTTTACAGTAAAACACCAGCATATATAGAATTAGAAGCTTTTAAAACACAGTACCTTCATTCTTGGCCTTCTCAGCTCTCTGTCTGCTTTGCTGTTCATTAGGACTATGAAATTTCAGCTCTGAGTAGGTCACATCCTGCTCACTCATTTCTAGTGGGTTATAGAATAGAGAGTTTAGACTCAAGTGTATTGAGATGGATGATGGGATATGATGAATAACTGACATGACATATCTATGAAACTCCCATCAGAGCAAACAAAGAGCACCACTACCTATTTTATGCCACAAATGAGCTGTCTTTTAGAAAAGTTCTTGTGATGAAAAGAAATCATATACTAGAGTAATGAGTCCAGTGTGAATTTCTTATCACTTTTTCTAATACAGTGTGGAAATATAGTTGAAAAGGGGGCTCCGTTTTCAAAACTTTGTGAATTGCTGTTCTAATGTCTGACCTCTGTTTATATTTCCAGAGAATAAAATTTCCCAAACTGGAGCTGTCAATACATGTTAGTAATTTAAAAATGAAATTAAAAACAAAACAAAAGACAAAAAATCAACTCATTAACACTGAAGATTTATAAAAACAAACATTAGAAAGTCAGGTTTTGACTTAATCTTTAAAAAATATATTTGAAGAACAAAGTTTTCAAAAGGGCCTCATGGAGTTAAGCATCCAGCTTCCACTGAAATTCAAAGTGAATTGAAGTGAATTTTCCTAAGTGTCTTTTAAGATCCCACTTGAAAAGTGTGGTGTGACAGTCTGGGAATCTGTCAGTGTACATCTTTTATCTGAGATTTTGACATCTCTGTATGTATGTTTATCAAGCAGCAAATGCAATTTTGAATATGGTGCTGGTTGCCCTCTCTTTTCTCTTTTTACCTCCACATTGGACAGAAATTCCCATGGGTGGCAACACAGGGAATGGAGCCTACAAGTCTGTCTTCGAAAGAGACAGTTATTAAGGGCTATTAAGCAGTGAACAGAGCTAGTCCAGACAGAAAAATAGGATAGCTGAAGACTGGGAAAAGCCAGTTTGCTTAAACTTCTTTGCAGGGGTTTGGGATTGGAGAGTGGGATATCCCCAGCAGCAGAACAAAAGAATCAGGTGTTGGTTGTGAGACATAAACTTGAGGGACTCCTACAGCAGGGAAGGAACAGTAAGCTTTGGACAGGAGAGAGCAAGAGAGGGGCCTGCTATTGTAGCAAGGCGTCCTGTTTACCTGCAGCACCAGCCAAGGTCAAACAAAGAGAGTTGTCCAGTGGCCTGGGGGAGAGAGAGAGTGAGGGAGCGAGAATCCACGATTCCGGAGAGAAACTGTGTGCAGGAGACAAAGATCCCGGATACCCCAGAGGGCTCTGCCCAAGCCCAAATTGCTCTCCCAAGTGGCGAGGAACCTGAGGCAGGGAGATGTGTAGACAAAATGATTATTTTGCCTAGATCTGTGTATGTCTCTTGCTATCTAAGTAAAGAGTAATGGTGTTTAGAAACTCTTATGAAGTCGATGGGTCTGTGATGAGTTAAAACAGTAAATCTAAAATGCCCACAAGGCTGGAGTTCTGCGAGAGGATGTGTTTAAGCTACTGGAGAGTCGGGGTGGGGGGGAGGAAGGGGGAGTGGACAGCACTGGTCCTAGGAGCCTATGTTAATCGGGCCATGTGGCTGCATTTCCATGAAGTAATAACAGACAGCCTACACCCACGAGATGTGCCAGAGAAGCCAGCAGGGGAAACACTTCTGCACTCTACTGATAGCCAAGGAAGCTTCAGAGCTCATTGATCCAGTGGTTTGGGACTCCACACAGCAGCCTGGGGAGTGTCCAGCACAGAGCACTCTTCTAGAGCTGCATGTGTGACATATGGGAGCACAGACTCCATAAAAACTTAAAGTGAGATGCTACTCTGAAAAAGTAACTATGTAAAATTGATATCCTCTTACCCAGCGGGTATTTGCTCTGTGCATATTCAGATCATAGTTACTGACTGTCAAAAATAAGTTAGAATTTTTTTAAAAATTCCTTTTAGCCCCATAGAGCCAATATAGCTCAGACAGCGGGAACTGGTCTATTTCTACTTGTGCATCACCAATTGGAATATAATTGCTTAGTAAGTTCCAATCAATTGTATCTGTACAAACCTATTACCAACAAAAATTAAAATATGCTACCTATAGTTGGTATCGTCCATAGCCAGACCCTCACTACATAATTTCTAACACCCTCAATTCTATGATAGAGAGTAAAACTCAAAATCATCATCCCAGCTCCAGCTCTGGGAAAGCAATGTGTCATATTCCATCCTCAGAAAATGCTAAAAAGATGAGTCTTGCACCATGCCCTGAAGGTCAACAAACCCAGGCTCCACCAAAATGATAAGAGCAATTTAAGGTGAGCACCCTATACCAAAAACTCCTGGGCCAGAGACCACCAGAGTTCTTCTCAAGAAACCGCTAAGAGAAACAACATGAGTGTGATTATGTTGCATAAAAATAGTACCTTGCCCCTTTTCCTGCCCTTATTTCTAACCTCTCCAGGTGCTTTTGTATTTTTTTCTCTGACTTCTATAGGGTTCAGAATATCATCTAGTTCAGTATAATCTTATCTACAGTAACCCAAATCATACCTACTCCTGATTTAATACACTGACATGAGTCATCACACTTTAGCTTTGGACCCTCACCCATTTTTCAATCAGTAGGACTAGAATCATTTCTCAACCAGCTTCAATTTATTTTTTCAAATAGGATTTTTTGAATGTTTGTAAACAATGATTTTCTAAACTCGAGATCTGATCCATAGACTGCCTTCCTGGGTTGGAAAAGATCTTATAGCTTCGATGTAAAGTTTCAAAAGTGCCTATATTATTTAGCCATTTTTGAAAATGTTTACCCTTGGTGTTTAATGGTAAAACAACCAAATACATTACAGAAGGCAAAAGGAGCACAAATGCAAATTCACATATTGGAAGGACAGCCCATACTAATGCTAATAAAAACAACAAGGAGTCTGGTGGCACCTTAAAGACTAACAGATTTATTTGGGCATAAGCTTTCATGAGTAAAAACCTCACTTCTTCGGATGCATCCCAAATAAATCTGTTAGTCTTTAAGGTGCCACCAGACTCCTTGTTGTTTTTGTAGATACAGACTAACACGGCTACCCCCTGATACTTGACACTAATGCTAATGTTAATGCTGATTAATGCAATAGTAATGTTTATAACCACTTGTACTAAATTTATAAGAGAAAAGAGAAGCCCTAGAGTTAAAAACCAACCTACATCAATTATCTAGTCTAATAACAAAAGCTACTAAGACATTTGGTGATGATACCTGTGTGGATGTCAGAGATCTTTGGCTGGAGTCCTGGAATAGACGTGTTGATATCTTCGTATGGCATAAAAATATGAGAGTTTGTCTATCATGTTAGTAGAGAGTCAACATAAAACAAGGGAGGAAAAAATTATTTGCTGTGGTGTTCCGGCTACAACTGCACAGGAAGTTCGCACATAACTGGTTTGAAGTGAGCTGCCCCCTCACAAAATGTTCAGAGCAAAAGGATTTTCATTTTTATGGGTTAAAGCATCATTATGACCAGGGGTCAAATTAAAAAACAAAATTAGTGATACTCTTCCAGGCTTCACCCACAAACCAAATTTTCCCCATTTGAGATACGAAAATGTCACACAACTCACAGCACATTGCATAGATGTTCAAAATATCCTGTGGGCTTTGCTTGGCTTTTCAGGCTTCGCTCCCCCTCAGAGAAACAGTCATGGGAAGGCCAGATTAAGGCACAGATGTAATATGCATATGCCCAGGACCACAGCTCCCAGAGTTGTGTGCTGGGATCAGAGTCTAAGCATTCATGAACATATGAATTTTCCTAATGCTTATGGTTGCAAAGAAAAGGATGGAAGTGTGAGCCAAGTGTAACTGATGCAGTGACTTATACATAAATCTGCAGACAGCCTCCAGAAGAGGTAAGAGCAGCAACCATCAGAGCCAGGGAAAAAGCCACCTGTCCTTCCAGCAGCCACCAGAGCAGATCTGGGCCCTGTTGCTGCAGGGGAGGGGAGCTGACTATTTGGGGATCTTGGATTACCCCACTGGGCTTTGTGGGATTGGTTCCCCCTCAGTGATCTTGTCTTAATCTTGAAAAAAGATGTTTTTAAAAAAAAATGTCAGCTAAATCCATTTGAAACACCACTAATGCAGATGTATTTTAACACCTTTATAACTGGATTAGCTATTTGAGGTCCACAGCAGATGGGGTTTAGAGGTACCAACACTCTCCCACCCAAATCTGACCAAAAGTCTATTTTAACTGCATTAAATTGAGTCTACACTAGTTCCTAAGTGATGTTTCAAAATATCTGTGTAGTCTTGTATCTGCCCTTTCCTCAGTTGCCTATAAGACAGTGAGCATTCTGGGGCAGCAAGCATCCCAGAGCTTCTTCCTGGGGGTGGGTCTCGTCCCGGTGGGGGGAAGAGAACACAGCTCACCACACCTTTAAAGTTGTCTGAGGGAAACGTCTGTACTGCTTTGCTGTGTCCCAGGGAAGTTATTGAAATTGGAACATTTGTAACAGCTTCACACTTTCTCTCCCAGCTGAGAGGCAGGCTGCAGGGGCCATGCAAAGCAGGGTGGGTGAGAGGGCAGCTTTGGTCTAAAAGGGGAAGAGAAAACAGTGCAGCATTCCTTAGAATTTGTTAGAAGAAAATGTTTGTAATGTTCTCCTGGGTCCCAGGAGAGTTAAAGAGGTTGGGGTGACTTGCCCTGCTTAACCTTTGTCTCCTGGCAGAGAAGAAGGCTGCCAAGAGTGAGTGGATCAGGACAAGTGGGTGGGTAGCAGCTCCGTTTTTGTGTTGGAAGAGAGAACAATGCAGCATTCCATTAAAGTTATCTGAAGAAATTATTTGAAACAATGTGCATACATCCCAGGAAAGATATTTAAGTTGCCATATGTTTCCACTTTCCTGTCCATTTCGCAGCCAATAGGCACAAAGGCAGGTTTTTCAGAGGCAGGCAGGGACTGGGTTCTCCTTTTGCATGAAATCTCTCCATCCTAGCTCAGAATTGTGTTGATTTACATTCCATTCTTCTCCCAATCCTGGAAGCATATTCCAGCAATTTTTTCATGCAGCATG